CCTAGGGCAGTTGTCTTCATTTCTTCCCAGCAGTGCGTTTGATGACATCACAGTGCTTGCTTGACATTACCCAAACTGGACATACTTGTACCTTGGATCTTGGCAAATGCTGCCCGTCAAGTTGCTTGGTTTTTCCCCAGGAGACTGGTGGTGAAACATCACCATCTCACCACAAGGGGGCGTCACCGCTTTCTGAGCTGTGTAGGCCGCAGAGCCCCGTCCCCACTCCAAAGTGACACTGGCTCTGGAGCAGAGGAAGGAGAGTGGTTCGGAGTTGGGCGGGTCTGAGTTTCAATCTGGCTGCTTTGAGCAGTGAGAGGGGCTGGTGTCCGGATGAGCCCCACACAGCCTCGTCTATAGTAAGGATGAGGACTTCTGCTCTGAGGACCTGGGGAGCGTTCAGGGAGCCCCTGGGCTGAGACCAGGCGGAAAGCACAGGAGCCCCGGGTGGATGTCATTTGTCTCTGAGGTACAAGTCCTGGTTGCTGGGTGCCGCCCCCCCAGAGTGTACGTGCGTTTTATTTCCAGCTGTCCTCCAGACACCCTCACACGGAGTGAGCGCACCCTTCTCCAGCATGCGCCGCGGGAGACCCGTTTCCTTCCCCTGCTGTCAGAAATGTGTGTCTTGGGAATCAGCTAAAATCGCTGTTCTCTTCCTGGAGTTCCCCCGGTGGCCGTCCTGCTGAGCTGAGCGTCCTGGGAGACCGACCCAGCCAGAGGTGGCAGCGCTACCCGCCATGGGAGCCGCAGGGAGCTCTGCCAGCGCTGCGTGCTCTGAGCCGTCCTCACACACACACCGCCCGCCGCTTCCGAGCCACTCAGACTGCTGTCCTCGCTACATTTTGATTCATTCCTTGAGCTCAGCAGTATATTCCATTGTTTCAACATTTTTAGCAACACAAAATTGGGTATAAAACTCCTCCCCATAAAAACTAACTCTGGGCGGGGCACAGGAGGGGGAATAAAGAAGCGCTCACCTTCAGTTTCTTGCGAACTTGGAGAGTTGGGAACCAGTGGTAAAGACCAAGGGCCGCACTGCCCCTGCTGCTGAGTTGCTGGGCCGAAGTCCAGCTTGCAGCCGGGAACTCGAGGCAGGCCCCTGGGGCTGAGCAGTGACTGCAGAGAAAGCCAGCGAGCTGCTCTCTGTCCTCCGAGATAAGCAGTGTGTGCCTTGGGTCAGCCAGTGTAATGGTCAGTGCGGGGAGTGACACGCAGCCCCGATGCTCCGAGGAGAGGCACAGCCCTCAGGCGCAGAGCTGGGCTCTGGCCCCATCATCCTTGATACGCGGCTGCGGTCAAACACTTGTAATGCGAGCTCGCCATCCTGACCACTAGCACAGATGGGCCAGTGGCATTGGGTGTGACCATCACCGCCCCAGCCTGGGCTCCTCTGACATCTCAGTCCCCCCAGGGCCCCTAGAGGGCTGTGCCACGGTCTCCTATGCCGAGGATGCTTGGCGAGCTGGCTCCCTGCCCTTGGTCGCCTGGCAGAGCCTGGCTGTGCCTGGCATATTCATCTCCAAACCGTATGCCCTCGTGTTGCAGCCTCGCTGGCTGGGGTAGGGCTTGGCGGCCACTGTTCCCACAGGGCTGTGACCGTGCTCAGTGCCTGGCTCACGTCCTCACTGGTGCCTTTGCTCCTCTGTCCCGCTGTCGCCCAGGGGTGATCCTGCTGCTGCTGGACAAGCTGCGCAAGATGAAGTGGGAGCAGATGTGGAGACTGACGGCGGAGCGGGAGCTCATGGGGATGCTGTCCACATCCCTGGCAGACCAGGTGAGTGGCCCGATCGCAGGGCTGGCATTCTGAGCACCTGTGTCCATCAGCG